ACGTCTTTTGCAAAAACACAAAATATTTGCCTTTTTATGTGCCTTCCTTTTCCGTTTGCCTTTTTCTTGTTTGCTCTTCCCCTTTAGTTTTTGCTTCCTGCAGTAGTCATTTTTATATATCCATGGAATCAACAACTTTTTAAACTTGTTTCAGAAATTCAGATACCCAAGATATCAAATCAACGGAAGCTCTACGTTTTATCTTGTCATTTTTTCTCACGGGTCAATGATCATGCAAGATGGCCTACATTTGAGAGGAATTCAGAAACACTTAGATTACTCACTGTGGGTTTCCTACAACAACATACACAATCAAATCACACCAGTGGAATTTTTCCACGTCAATGTTTTTTCTGTTTATCAATTATGTTTGATCAACAACTAGTACCAAAACAAAGGTAGAATGCAACCAAAAATAGAGGTGGCTCATGCTTCAGGGATACAACAAACTCATGTTTCAGTGAACAGTGAGATGTGATGATTCATGTTTCAGAGATAGTTCTGTGTGAAACAAAGATCATGTTTCAGAAACTAATCGAGGCTTCCCGATGCAACCTGGTCGAAGTAGTTTCAGGAAATACCCCCGGGGGGTTTGTGAACCAAGAGGAAACTCCAGCACGCGGCAGAAAGCCCCCCGGCGGCGGTCGGAGCTGAGAATGATGGCCGCGGCTATTCTCGAAGCAGGGCCCCTCGGTGAGCTCAATTTGCGTCAGATCCAACCATTTGACATGCAATATGGTGCGCCATGGTGTTGCAGAAACTTCAATTTACCTCCTACACGCCGGCGCGCGCTGATTTTGGGTTGGGTTGGCGGCGGCGGTGCGTGGGGCGCAACTCAGTCGGGGCCGGGGGCAAGAGTGTATTGTTTCTGCAACAGAGCATTTGTTGCGGGAAATAACGAGTAGGCATGCGGGGTGCGAACACTAGATCAGACGGCTATCAGCTCGGGCATCCAATGGTCCTCGAGGCGACGGATAATATAAAACATCGGTCGGCGGACGTGTAGCAGCGTCCATACTACTAATAGTAATAGTTGGTCCCAATTAAAATGCACACCATGTGGGACAACAAACTAGCCAATGGGTCAAGAATGTTCTCTCTCCTAGGGTGAGATGGCGCTCAAGCGACCGGTGACCCCGAGGTCAAGAACCACCATTGAGGGTGCAATTGAGATGAACCCCTCTCCCCCTTCCCCTGCCTGATCCTAGTATGTTTGTCACCCCGCCTCTCTAGTTCAGTTCCACTCCTCGACAATAAGGGGTGATTGGTCTATGGCGGAAGTGAGAGGGACATCAGGGTGGACACGGTTCTGATGACCAGCACTTGGTCAACGATCTTGGGCAATGGGTCCTAGTGGGGAACCATCTGCAGTGGCGACCAACGACGGTACACTAATGCAAGCACTGGTTGGGGCTGCAATGGCTGGCATGGCTAGAGCTGACTGATGTGGAGGCGCACGTGGTGATCCTTGATGATGTTGGGTTTGGTGAATCAAGATCGGACTCTCATGGGCAAGGTTCTGGCGCCTAACAAATTGGACATGCAAAACTATCTCGTCGGAGATGAGGTCGGTGTGGGGAAACCCATTCATTCTTGTATTTGGAATGGAAGCGGATCGAAATTGCGTGATGGAGTGGTCTCCATGGATGGCGGGCCAACATGCGGTGCTACTCAAGAAACTAGATAACACTCCGCAGGTTGCTGCGATAATTTGTTAAAAGAATGCATAATAAGGCGCTACATAAATAACTAAAACTACGTGGCTAGTCATGGTTGGTTTACATAATTCTTCAATAAAAGGTAAATTTTAAACATTTTTAGCTCTAATACATTCTTTCTTTTAGATATTTTTTGGTTTCTTGCATATCTTCTCGGTTGAGGAATAGAATACCTCTTTTATTCAGAGTTGGTTTAGGTGGAGGTCGAGGAATAATCCAATCAGTATGTTTTTTCATCATATTGGTCAATGGTGGGCTGAAAAGTGTGGGCAAACAGAGGCACCATAAGGATTTGAAGAGGAGGAGGAAGAAGAATCAACGGAAGAAGTAGCAGCAGAAGAAAACACAACAGAAGAAAAGGCAGTAGCAAAAGGAGAAGAATATGATGATGGTGATGGTGATGGACTTCCCCTAGTTTGACACCGATGAATTTCCCCCATTAAGCCATATGATTGTTAATTTGTATTATAATTTGTTAGTAGTTATGATGAGCTATTGTTTGTTTACTAGATAAGACTTGAATGATGTTTGGTACTGTCTGTGTAATATACTGTACGACAAGGTCACCACTAGTGAAAAGAGATGACCACAACATAGACCGTGCACAACCAAACACCATATTTTGCACGTTGATAAGCATAACCCATAAATGCCGCCAAACATTAAACTGCTCACTGATGGAATGCAAGCTATCAAACTATGTGTTTATGGTTTTTAGCATATATTTACTCAATTAGGCTCAATTCAACCACGTACGCAAATACCTCAAAATCCATGCAGTCTGCCAAACGCGCTCCTAAGGTTTGGTGCACACAAAAAAAATTGAAAAATGTTTTTTTAGCACAAATGTTCAGATGGGCGCCCCCTCCCACCCACCCAAAATTGAAAAGGAGAAAGAGAAGTGATGTACTCCATACATTTTTGATCAATTATCACCTAACTCCATCACAATAAAATTATACTAACCCACTTGATCGATCTTGATTAAAAAATGGTTGTCCGGATTTTTAGTCTCGAATCAACACATCATGCTTGCACTAATTTCCTCTCGTTCACCGAATTTGGAGTAGTCTGCATAAAAAAAAGGAAGGGATGAGCCAAGATCGAACTAGAAACTGGGTTTTTCCATTGACAAAATGAGATTATAAAACGATAATCCAGGGCATGTATTGTCAGAACATTATTATGGTGGGAAAATCCCAACAAAAAATCAACGCAAACTGCGCAAAAAGAAAAAAGGACACGTGGCCGGGCAACGCGTCAAGCCCATGCATTCAGACAGGCCACGTCACCCCATGGGACGTGCCATCTAACCCAGGGGGGCCTCGCCTGCCGCCCCCCGATTAGGTGAGCTCCCGGCGGGCCCCACGCGGCCGCGACGTATCACCTGGCCCACCCCCAATTCAAAAATCGCCACTGCCTCCCCACACGCGTCGGCCATCGCGCGTCGCTCCGCCGCCCTCGTTCCGTCGCTTCCGCCCCTGCTCCCAGCCGAGGCCTCGCTTCGCTTTCCGGTGACGGCGCGCGCAACTCTCTATATTTTTCTCCGCCTCCTGGTCAGCTGTTGGATCGGCAGCAGCAGCAGCAGCGCCACCAGCAGGAGGAGGAGGTTTGCTCTGAGTTGGTGCTTCTTTCACAGTCGGTTTCGTTCGAGTTGAAGCCGCCCTTCGAAATTCTGTGATTGGGGCGGGTGGGTGGTGGCGATGGAGGAGAGGTACGAGGCGTTGAAGGAGCTGGGGACGGGAAACTTCGGGGTGGCGAGGCTGGTCAGGGACAAGAGCACCAAGGAGCTCGTCGCCGTCAAGTACATCGAGAGGGGCAAGAAGGTAGTATATACGTCGTTGTTCTCCGTTCCTTTCCTTTGTTCTTTATTTCTGGGGTTTGGTCGCCGAGGACTGGTGGATTTGGGGGTTCTTCTTGAAGAATCTATCCTCGATAGATGGTAGCTATAGTCACTATGTCTGCAGGTTTGTGTTGCTGGATGGATGATTTTTAGGGTCTGCTTGTGTGCGTGCAGATTGATGAGAATGTGCAGAGGGAGATCATCAATCACCGCTCGCTCCGGCACCCTAACATCATACGATTCAAGGAGGTAATTCCCCATTCTTCTTGACTCGTTAGTCGTTTGATAAGTTTGTTGATTCTCAGTTACATTAGATTGGTTAAATTTGATGGTTCTGAAGTATGAACTCTGAACTACTCTGTGTGTCCTCCAGAAAGCAGAATTGACACCCTGATATTTTGGAAATAAAGGACGATTATCTTTTTGATTGTTTGCGTCATGACTGCTCTGCCAGTTATTAGTAATGGTTTTTTCGTCAAAACTTACTAGTATTGTTGGGCTGGGCGGCACTGAACCCCTACATTTCAGTGTCACTATGGTTGGTGATAATGAGTTCAGAATCATCGAAGTTTGTCCTAGGATGTCTCTGTCTTGATATTCAACTTAGCAAATTATCTACTGTAGATAAAATTAAATTGCTTGCTATAATATGGTCTTTCTGTATCAATTGAGGACAGGTTTGTGTAACCCCGACGCACCTTGCCATTGTCATGGAATATGCTGCCGGCGGAGAACTCTTCGAAAGAATATGCACCGCAGGGCGATTCAGTGAAGATGAGGTTGCCCTTGAACCTACTTACCTCATTATATCACTAGGCTATCTTTGTTCTGAACCATGTCTGCTAACAGTAGAAGTAATCGTGTAAATTGTTTGCTATGCGTGTCAATAGGCAAGGTACTTCTTCCAGCAACTACTTTCAGGGGTCAGCTACTGCCATTCCATGGTACGCTTTGCCTTTTGAAATTTGTCAAAGAAAATAAATGCAAAACCCAACTGCCCATGAACTAATGCTGCAAATGCAGGAAATCTGTCACCGTGATCTTAAACTGGAAAACACTCTCCTGGATGGGAGTCCAACACCTCGAGTGAAAATTTGCGACTTTGGTTACTCAAAGGTACTAACAGTTACTGTTATGTTTCCAGTTTTGCTAGAATTGACCTTTCTCTGTCCTTACTGACCAAGTTGGCCATCGTGATTTTCAGTCTGCTTTGCTGCATTCCAAACCAAAATCAACGGTTGGTACTCCAGCATACATAGCGCCGGAAGTTCTTTCGAGAAAAGAATATGACGGCAAGGTAAGTTCTGCCTTTGAAATCTGCGATTATTTGTTCCAGTTATGCGTCAGCATTTTCTTTCCAGCAGAGGACGCGGTAAAGAATGTGTAGTAATATCAATTAGTACTTAGAAAAACAACTAAAAGTTGTGACTGGATTTAGAACTGAGCTAAAGGAGATTATGAATTTAACCCTCTTGATTCAGATATAGTGCCATAGAGTCCTTTAGCGGAACATCCTCATGTCTTAGTTGAAGGATGTGCAGCTATGAAAGCAAAATCAGCAAGGTCACTAATTATTTAGTGCTTGATTTTTCTATTCATCTTGCATCTAGGATCAGTATCAGTTTCTTTTTCTTACAACATAGAACTTTAGTAATGGACAGTGCGGATTCGCTTACCAATGTTCTGCTGCCACTGAAAATGGTCACACAGCACAGACAAACATCACTGATTAATTTTGTATATCTTCAGTAATGCACAGTGATGTTATCATGGTTCTGAGATGTCACATGATTGGCTTCCAACTTTGCATCTTATGACGAAATGGTTCCCCATCAGGTAGCGGACGTTTGGTCCTGCGGCGTGACATTGTACGTGATGCTCATCGGGTCGTATCCATTTGAGGACCCCGAGGATCCAAGGAACTTCCGGAAAACTATCAGTGTAACTTATCGATCCTTCCTCCTAATCATCCTTCACTCCTTCGCTTGTTCAGCACCTTGCTTGAATGCTTGTGTTAAGCGTGCCTGAAACTCTGATCTCAACGCGAATGCACGTCTTGTGACACTTGACAGAGAATCCTTGGCGTGCAATACTCCATTCCCGACTACGTCAGGGTTTCCTCCGACTGCAGACGCCTCCTGTCCCAAATATTCACTGCCGATCCTTCAAAGGTACTACTGCTGCTTATCCTCTTTCTTTTTTCTGTTTATTAGTAACTTCCAAGGAAACTTCAGATTGCTCCAAAAGGCAGAGAACTTTGAATCATACCTTGAATCGTGCCTAACAAAAAGTGATTGATTTGAATCGTGTCTGAAACTCTGAAGAGGATCACGATCGCTGAGATCAAGAAGCTGCCGTGGTACCTGAAGAGCCTGCCCAAGGAGATCGCGGAGAGGGACAGGGCCAACTTCAAGGAGCCCGAGACGGAGGCGGAGACCGCGGCGGCGGCGGCGCAGCCCGTGGAGGAGATCATGCGGATCATCCAGGAGGCCAAGGCCCCCGGCGACATGTCCAAGTCGTCGGCCGATGCGGCGCTGCTGGCCGAGCTGGCCGAGCTGCAGAGCGACGACGAGGAGGAGGAGCCCGGAGCCGAGAGGGAGACCTACTGACTCGACTCTGCATCGCAGCTCATGCAGGTGCAGCCGCGTAGCTGTTTCGTACATACGGTCTAGAGTACGGTTTGCTGAAACAAGAATAAGGCCACGAAGCGTATTATTATACAGATTATGACACCTGTTGTACTATCGCTGTGTACATTATTACTGAACAAACATTCCACGGATACCACGCAAAAAAAAAAACATTCCACGGATTTAACTTTCAAGAATAAAAGATGGTGGGGAAATATAGTTCTTCCAGTTTTTGTTTGAATTAAGGGCCTGTTTGGTTCACAAGTCCTATGGACTTTTTCTAGTTTCAACTAAAAAGTCCCTAGTGCCTGCCCGTTTATTTCCAGGGACTAAAATGTATCTAGTCCTTCCTTAGAGGTTATTAAATGACCATGTTACCCTTAGTAATGACCAAACAACATCATGAGACGGCGGGTCAATGGGTGCATGGAGGGGCATTGTTGGAAAAGTCACAAAAAGTCCTAAAAAGACTCTTCTTGAGAGTCTTCTTCATTTAGTCTCAAAAAGCAACTTTTAGTCCCTAGTAGTCCCTCCTATTTGGTTAAAAAGGATCCCAACACCAAAAAATCCCTGAAAACAAACACCTTCTAAGCCTGTTCGAATGAGGAACGATTTTGCAGTGGTGAATCTAGAATCTCACTCGACTCTTGGGGGGGGCCACAGTTCAAAATTTGGAAAACCGTTCGAATTTTGCAGTAGCGAATCTAATCTAGAATCTCACTATGAATAGTATAATTTGGTCTACGCATTGTTATAATCACCCCAAATAGTCTTAAAGTTGTATAATTTGGTCGAAGCAAATAGTCTTAAAATTGCATTAACTTGTTAGGAATTCAATGTCAAGAACATAAGAAAAAACATTTTGCAATTTTGGAGTGGGTGCCATGGCACCCCCAAGATTCACCCTGCGATTTGGTAATTCATAGATACTTAATTCATAGATACTTTCTTTTGTAACTTTGACGTCTTTAGTCAAACGATAAGGCCTCTCATCGTGGATAATATTACAAGTTAGTATCATGCAAATGATGTCAGGGTATGATACTAACTTCATAGTGTACATGACTATAAGTTAGTATCTTAGATGAACTATACACCAATGGGAAAAAGGTAAAATTGATTATAGTTGCTTTAATTTAGAAGTATAGTTATGTTTTAGTCAATGTTAGTAGCCTTCCGTTTAAAATATGTCCCATCTTGTGTCCCTTTTTCAATGTTGGTGTTCTTGGTTGTTTAGACTTTCTTAGGAATATCATCATGGCTAGCTTTTTTTTACTGCAAATAATATTCATATGACGATGGATTTATAAAAACAGCGAGTTCATCGACCCAAATACAAGGACTATTACAATTGAAAGGAAATCTACCTATCTCATGTGAGTGACATTCACATCTCCAGCGCAACCTTTTCGACGATCCCCACCATCTCCATACAATTATCGTCGATTTTAGCAGTTGCATCACTCGCTGTGATCCACTTGATTAACCAACTTAATTAAGGACATGCTTCTTTGTCATCGCCACACTGGAAAGGTAGGGGATATAAGCAAGGTTATTAATTTTGACATATAAATAATTGGTATTGCTTAGTTACTTTAGAAGTAGCAAAATCGAAAAAAGTTGGAGACTAATGGATTTCGAGTTGCGCACTATTTATAGCATATTTCTCTATTTTGGATTCTTGAATTGAACTTTCATGATATAGTACATGTACATTTTATGTATTATAATATTTTTTTTCATCGCTTTTAGCACAACCGTTTTGAAGATTTGTCAAATCTCACCCAAAGTAATGAGTTGTCGTTCAAACCACAAGTACGTCGCCCCATGCTCTCCTTGCAAAAAAAAAAAGAAAAAACAGTCGCCCCATGCTCACGCGGACATGGAAGAAAAGGCATGACCAGTTCAATTTAACGGGTGCAGTCCTAACGCCTGGAAACAATGGAATCTTGAGTTTCCTAAATAATGGATGAAATTGTTTCATTCGGGGCTACTTCTGGGCTTCTCTTCACTTAACTTTTTTTCTTCTGAAATACGCATAAGCATGTGTATCATATATTCATAGAAAGAGGGGGGGGGACGTCCATGAGTACAATAGGTTTACATAGTCAACTACTCCCACTCGCCCGCGTGAACAACCAATGAAAGAAAAGTGCCATGTCCGCTCTAAATTTGATTGTAGCCTGACATTCCTGGCCCTCCTCTAAGATCTTGGCAATAGTTATTTACATCAAGGGAGAAGCGCCGCCGAATACCTGCCATTGAAAGGATCGACAAGAGGGGTCTAGAGGGGGGGGGTGATTAGACCCTTAACAAGCAAAAGTGGCAATTTTTTATTTCCTTCAAGTTAAGGTTGAATTTAGCACATGTTAAAGGCACACACAATACATTTCAAGTAAGGATGACAAAAGTATAGGCAGTGGAAAGAGTAAAACACGTAATTTGCAAGAATGTAAAGGGATGAGAATGGAGTGTGCAAACGTAATGCAGACACGGAGATTTTTGGCGTGGTTCCGATAGGTGGCGCTATCATACGTCCACGTTGATGGAGACTTCAACCCACGAATGGTAATGGTTGCGCGAGTCCACGGAGGGCTCCACCCGCGAAGGGTCCATGAAGAAGCAACCTTGTCTATCCCACCATGGCCATCGCCCACGAAGGACTTGCCTCACTCGGATAGATCTTCACGAAGTAGGCAATCTCCTTGCCCTTACAAACTTCTTGGTTCAACTCCACATCACGACAGAGGCTTCCAAGCGACACCTAACCAATCGAGGAGACACCACTCTCCAAAAGGTAATAGACGGTGTGTTGATGGTGAACTCCTTGCTCTTGTGCTTCAAATGATAGTCTCCCCAACACTCAACTATCTCTCTCTCACACAGATTTGGGTATGGTGGAAGAAGGATTTGAGTGGAAAGCAACTTGGGGAATGCTAGAAATCAAGATTCAAATGGTAGGAATGGAATCTCTTGATCTCAACACATGAGTAGGTGGTTCTCTTTCAGAAAATGAATGGTGGAAATGTAGGCACGTTCTGATGGCTTTCCTCTATAAGGAAGAAGGGGTAGGGGCATATATAGCCTCCACACAAAATCCAACCGTTACACACTTTTAACTCGTCTCGGTGGCACCGATTAGTAAACTCGGTGGCATCGATCTGTTCAAAAATATGAATGTTAGGAATCTCGATGGGACCGAGTGAACAACTCAGTGGGACCGATGTATTAGGGCTTAGGGCAAACTTCATCTCGGTGGCACCGATTGCATCATCTCGGTCGGGCCGAAGTGAGTGCAATGGGCAGCAGAGGATCTGTCAAACCAACTCAGTGAGACCGATTGCATCAACTCGGTGAGACCGAAGTGAATGCAACAAGTACAGAGCGTTGGCAAGTCCATCTCGGTGGGATCGAGACCTGTATCGGTGTGACTGAACTGTTAGGGTTTGGCAGTGGCTATATCAACTTGAACTCGGTGGCATCGGGTGAAAGATATCGATGGGGCTGAGTTTGGAGTTTTAGGGTTTTGACATATTTGGATGGAGAAAGTGGTTGAGGGTTTTGGAGCAATATGATAACCCACAAGTATAGGGTTTTGCATGACATCTTTTGTCCTACCCTCCCATGGCAGCAGGGTCCTATTGGAAACTAAGGGATATTAAGGCCTCCTTTTAATAGAGAACCGGAACAAAGCATTAGCACTTAGTGAATACATGAACTCCTCAAACTACGGTCATCACCGGGAAGTGTCCCGACTATTGTCACTCCGGGGTTGCCGGATCATAACACGTAGTAGGTGACTATAACTTGCTAGATAGGATCAAGAACACAAATATATTCATGAAAACATAATAGGTCATGGCACTCAGGCCCTAGTGACAAGCATTAGGCATAGCAAAGTCATAGCAACATCAATCTTAGAACATAATGGATACTAGAGATTAAACCCTAACAAAACTAACTCGACTACATGGTAAATCTCATCCAACCCATCACCGTCCAGCAAGCCTACAATGGGATTACTCACGCACGGTGGTGAGCATCATGAAATTGGTGATGGAGGATGGTTGATGATGATGATGGCGATGATTTCCCCTCTCCGGATCCCAAAGCAAACTCTAGATCTGCCCTCCCGATGAAGAACAGAGGGTGACAGTGGCTCCATATCGTAAAACATGATGAATCCTTCTCTCCAATTTTTTATCCCCGAACGTGAATATATGGAGTTGAAGTTGAGGTCGGTCGGTCGAGCCTCATGGGACCCACAAGACCGGAGGGCGCGCCTTCCACCCTTGTGGACAGGGTGTGGGTCCCCTCTGGTTGATTCTTTCGCCAATATTTTTTATTTATTCTGTCAGATTCGAGGTTCCGCAGACCCTTGAGAGGTTCGAACTCTGGGGTGTGTGCGAAGAACTCTCTCTTCCCTATCTACCTGCTCAACGATCCCACAGCCTAGCTCAACGAACCCAAGGAACAAGAGATACAATAGTTTATCCTGGTTCGGGCCACCTTGCGGTGTAATACCCTACTCCAGCTTTGTGGTGGATTGCCTCGGGGGGCTGAGGATGAACTAGTATAGTGGATGAACAGCCTCAGGAGGTGAGGTGTTCTTGAGCTCGATGAGCTAGTGAGGTGGTCAGGGTGGAATGGATCCCCCTATGGTGGTGGCTAGGTCCTATTTATAGTGGCCTTAGTCCTCTTCCCAAATGCATGCGAGAAGGGATTCCACAACGGCCAAATTTGAAGGGAGACAACTAGTATAGGCTATCCTAACAAAAGTAGTCTTCGCCTACAAAAGGCTCTGGTGGTGACGCTGCGTTGGGCTTCGGGATGACCTCCGTCCTGTCGTCCTGGCGGTCTTGGTCTTGTTGCACCGGTATGGAAACCCTTGCTTGATTCCTGGGGACTCCGCGCCTGCGCTTGCCTCCTTGGCACCAAAGGGGAAACTTGTATACTGCGCCCGCCTGGCCTTGGTTGTC